CTTATATACATACGTATATATTTATATATTATATATACATACGTATATATTTATATATTATATATACATACGTATATATTTATATATTATATATACATACGTATATATTTATATATTATATATACATACGTATATATTTATATATTATATATACATACGTATATATTTATATATTATATATACATACGTATATATTTATATATTATATATACATACGTATATATTTATATATTATATATACATACGTATATATTTATATATTATATATACATACGTATATATTTATATATTATATATACATACGTATATATTTATATATTATATATACATACGTATATATTTATATATTATATATACATACGTATATATTTATATATTATATATACATACGTATATATTTATATATTATATATACATACGTATATATTTATATATTATATATACATACGTATATATTTATATATTATATATACATACGTATATATTTATATATTATATATACATACGTATATATTTATATATTATATATACATACGTATATATTTATATATTATATATACATACGTATATATTTATATATTATATATACATACGTATATATTTATATATTATATATACATACGTATATATTTATATATTATATATACATACGTATATATTTATATATTATATATACATACGTATATATTTATATATTATATATACATACGTATATATTTATATATTATATATACATACGTATATATTTATATATTATATATACATACGTATATATTTATATATTATATATACATACGTATATATTTATATATTATATATACATACGTATATATTTATATATTATATATACATACGTATATATTTATATATTATATATACATACGTATATATTTATATATTATATATACATACGTATATATTTATATATTATATATACATACGTATATATTTATATATTATATATACATACGTATATATTTATATATTATATATACATACGTATATATTTATATATTATATATACATACGTATATATTTATATATTATATATACATACGTATATATTTATATATTATATATACATACGTATATATTTATATATTATATATACATACGTATATATTTATATATTATATATACATACGTATATATTTATATATTATATATACATACGTATATATTTATATATTATATATACATACGTATATATTTATATATTATATATACATACGTATATATTTATATATTATATATACATACGTATATATTTATATATTATATATACATACGTATATATTTATATATTATATATACATACGTATATATTTATATATTATATATACATACGTATATATTTATATATTATATATACATACGTATATATTTATATATTATATATACATACGTATATATTTATATATTATATATACATACGTATATATTTATATATTATATATACATACGTATATATTTATATATTATATATACATACGTATATATTTATATATTATATATACATACGTATATATTTATATATTATATATACATACGTATATATTTATATATTATATATACATACGTATATATTTATATATTATATATACATACGTATATATTTATATATTATATATACATACGTATATATTTATATATTATATATACATACGTATATATTTATATATTATATATACATACGTATATATTTATATATTATATATACATACGTATATATTTATATATTATATATACATACGTATATATTTATATATTATATATACATACGTATATATTTATATATTATATATACATACGTATATATTTATATATTATATATACATACGTATATATTTATATATTATATATACATACGTATATATTTATATATTATATATACATACGTATATATTTATATATTATATATACATACGTATATATTTATATATTATATATACATACGTATATATTTATATATTATATATACATACGTATATATTTATATATTATATATACATACGTATATATTTATATATTATATATACATACGTATATATTTATATATTATATATACATACGTATATATTTATATATTATATATACATACGTATATATTTATATATTATATATACATACGTATATATTTATATATTATATATACATACGTATATATTTATATATTATATATACATACGTATATATTTATATATTATATATACATACGTATATATTTATATATTATATATACATACGTATATATTTATATATTATATATACATACGTATATATTTATATATTATATATACATACGTATATATTTATATATTATATATACATACGTATATATTTATATATTATATATACATACGTATATATTTATATATTATATATACATACGTATATATTTATATATTATATATACATACGTATATATTTATATATTATATATACATACGTATATATTTATATATTATATATACATACGTATATATTTATATATTATATATACATACGTATATATTTATATATTATATATACATACGTATATATTTATATATTATATATACATACGTATATATTTATATATTATATATACATACGTATATATTTATATATTATATATACATACGTATATATTTATATATTATATATACATACGTATATATTTATATATTATATATACATACGTATATATTTATATATTATATATACATACGTATATATTTATATATTATATATACATACGTATATATTTATATATTATATATACATACGTATATATTTATATATTATATATACATACGTATATATTTATATATTATATATACATACGTATATATTTATATATTATATATACATACGTATATATTTATATATTATATATACATACGTATATATTTATATATTATATATACATACGTATATATTTATATATTATATATACATACGTATATATTTATATATTATATATACATACGTATATATTTATATATTATATATACATACGTATATATTTATATATTATATATACATACGTATATATTTATATATTATATATACATACGTATATATTTA